AAAGAATACTCTGAAAAGAAGCTCTGTGAGAATTCCTTGGACCTGAGTCAAAGCCAGGGAGCAACTGGACTGCAGCTTGGATGTAGCTCACTCCTTTTTCTCGGAGTCTTCGCCACCATCATCCTCGTCATCCCCATTATTGCTCTCGTCTTTCTCAACGGCAGCACCATCCCCCCTCATTGCTCTCAGAATTCTAAACAGCGGCACCATCCACATCGTGGCTCTCTCGGTAATCAACCGTCCCCATCGCTGTTCTCAGCATTCTGAATGGCAGCACCACACCCACTGTTGACCAGAGACTCACTGGCCTCGTTTCGCGTTGGAGAAGGACTGGTGACTCTGGGCAGGGTCAACAGTCGGGGATCGACAAGTTCGTCGCTTGCTCGACGCTTCCGGAATCGCATCTGGGGACCGCTCGAGTTGGAGAGAGGTTCAGGGTTCCTGAGCTGAGGCGTCCAGCAGGAAGTTCGTTGGTCCCAGCGGCATTGTCGTTGATGAGGTGACCGTAGGCATTGGCGTGTTCGGCATTTCTCACCGTGCGCCCAGCCTGTTGGGGTCATCGAGGAAACACCATTGTTGATGTACACGCTATGCGGCAGGTTGTCCGTCCTTTGGTTGCTGAGAGTCACCTGGTCGGAGGCTTGATGGCTCTTGTAGCTGGAACAAGGGGAGGTTTGATGGTGGCTCATCGGGCCAGCATTCCAAGTTCCTGCCGGTGTACCCGCTATTCGAGATGTTGGCCAGGACTCGGTTGTTGCGGTTGATTCCGTATGGAGCTTGGTGGTTAAGCGGATCAGCAGGGTACCGAGAAGGCGCGGAAGCTGGACGTTGACTAACCAGAACATTGTCTTGGGTATACCTGCTAGTGAGCAGGTCCCCCGACCCCTGACTGTTGACATTCAAGTCATAGCGGGTTTGATGGTTCGCCGCATAGACGGGGTAGGCAGAATGAGGGGACGTGGGGCGTGGGCTCATCACGCCAGTGCTGTTGCTGATGTACCCAGTACTCGGGAGATTTTCCCCGTGGCTGTTGACATTCATGCCGTATGGGCTTGATCGTGGGCCGGATTATATATGGGGTATTCAGAGGGGGCGGCAGACGAATGGGCCAGAGCAGGAGTAACACCGGGAAGTCCAGCAGTGTTCACTGCGGCCGGCTTGTGCCAGGACCTGAGGCACAATTCCGGAAGACCCAACAGTGTTCACCGTGGCCTGTGTTGCGGACTGATGCGGGACGGGGTTTGCAGCAGCAGATTGGCTTTGCTCGGCTTCTAAGGCCTCCTGCTGTGCTCGGCACGGCGCGCAAAGAACCAACTGTTTTGGGGCTCGTCAGGCCCGGGCCGGCCATGGAACTTCCTCTGATGTCGACGACGATTTCGTGTCTCGGGTGTAAGGGTGGGGCTTGTCGCAAAACTCGCACAAAAATGGCGGTCCATCTTCATCAGATTGGTAGTTTAACCAATCGAAGTCTTCCATAGCTGTTGGTGGGATTCTAAGTGACCGATCTATTAACCGAAGTTAGAATAGTTCAGAATAAAAGTCAAAATTGTAGCAAAAGTATGATAAGACCGGATCGAAGCCGCTAGAAATCATGGAAGCATCTCTCGGGGTGGTGAGCGAAGGAAGGAGTCCTTACTTAACGACTTCTTGCTGCAGAAAAGCCCAATTGAGCGACTTGCGTGATGATAGCAACACCGGAGGTCAAGTAGGAGGTAGATGTCGAGCAATAAACTAAGATGTCCAAGTAGGAAGTGAGTGCCTTGTAGGTAAAAATCGCGATCAAAACCGAAAGGCTATGTATGTGGGATGAGAAGGCTTCCGTAGGATCAGACGACAAAGGTTGCGACGGATGAAGAAAGCTGTGTGAGCTACGACGGTGGTGAAGAGCAAAATAACTGGGCCAAACAGGCAAGAAACATTTTATATGGGCCTCACACAGGTGTATACTGTTGCCGCCGAGCTGAGTATTGTCATCGACAAGATGGATACTGTCGTCGACAAAAGTGGGACCAGTTAGCACAGGGCTAAGGCTTATTAGCAAGACAGGGGGGAGCGCAGGGGACAGAGACTTGCTCCGATGATGACCGGCACGGAGGCTGATGGTGTCTGTGCTCCATGAAGAGCGAAGTAATTCGAACAAGATATGGGCCTGAAGTCTGATTAACAAGAAGGCGCATATAAAGCATGCCTAATCTCCCCATCAGCCACTGCCACTGGTAGAAAGTTCCCAAGTCGCTGATGCTTTGGATGGTACTAAACCTTTCACCGGGCTGGACACTGCTATTTCTCCTTTGTGGGCTGATATTTGACAAGAAGTGGAACAATTTCGACAAGGACATAATGTCAGGGAAACATTGAAGATCCTGTGCGCTGCCATGACAGTCCACACATATAGCAAACCATCTTATGACAACTTACTTGTGTTTATTTTCCTCACCGAAAACCTTCTGTGAGCAATAATAATATGGACCAGTAACTGATCTGTCACGGCCATCAATGGAGCATGACAGGCTCTGTAGTATGCCAAAGACCAAGTACCAAGGGGATGCTCATCACAGCCGGAACTGTAAGCCTTGAACAAGCAAACATTATGTATTCATAGTATCACCCGGACAACCCACGAGGGCAAGGAGTTCACAGCCCTGAATCATTCACAAGTTGCTATTCATACTTCCATTGCCGTACTCAACCGAGTCCCGTTACTGAGACCCCGTCTTTTCAGACCTATGTAACACCGTAATTCCCATCGTCCTTCAGGAAAAGGGTTGAACCACCCCAAGAGGGCGAGAAATACTCATCTAGACTTGACGACCCCTCAGCTCTATCATCTCTTCTCCTTCACATACACATCCACCTCAGTCCCAGTCCTCCTCTTCGTCATCGCTACATACCCGACGTCGCGGCCGATGCCCTCCCCAAGCCGGCCCTTCAGTTTCAAGCTGCCGCGCCAGGTTGTCAATAATAAAGGCCTCCCTCTTCTCCCTACGCACGTTCAAGATGTGACGCCACCACCCCCCCACCCCCAGGGGGGAAAGCAAGCTCGATCTTGTCCGGGTGGTAGTACCCCCCATCCACGAACCACTGCCGAAGCCTATCCGCCCTCCAATTTCTCTGGTTGTTAATCGACGTCAACATTCTCTTCGCCCTTGACTCGCTGCAGTCGTTGCAATGTCGCGGGATGGGGACCACCAGCTCCTCCTCGGTCCTCCTAAGCCAATCCGGAAGCGGCGTGGCCCTATGGTGAGACAGAGTTTTGGGGATGTTGTAGTACGGAATCTCACGACCGATGCCATAGACTGTGAGGGGGTGTCTGCAGTATTTGTCATCGAGAAAGGACGGCTTGTGGCGGCAGATTGGGCAGAGCACGACGATGGGGGGGTAAGGGTCGTCGATGTCTGGAAATGTGCTGTACCCTTCGACAGCATTCCAAGTTGAGACCTTTTCCCTTGTGAAGGGCGTACGGGGGGGCATGGTGGTGACTTTGGCTGGAAACCGCGGAGCGTTTTAGTCAAGGTAGGTATACCAAGGTCGAGTATACACCTCGAGTATGAGCCAGCAAGAAGTCGGAATCATGGCCGTATGCAGATACTGAGTATATACGTAGACTGAGTATATACGTAGACTGCCCTTTTTTCATGTAAGTTGGATCCTTTCGTTCTGTTTTTCTCTTCATGCTATCATCTTATTCTCATCTGGCATATATGTCCGCTTCTGCCGAGGGTGGACTTGCATAAGAGGAGACAATGGCATTGTCGGAAACCGAGATTGACACCAATATGCCCTATGAGCCTTTGTTGTAGCATCCGAAAGCCAAGATTTCTCGCGCTCGAACCGTAGGCTTTGACCCGAAGACAAAGAACCACTTTCCTCAGTGCCGGGCTGGAGGAAGAGCTGTAAATCAAATGAGAATCAGTGATAAGCTGTATCTACCGATGAATTGAGGGTAGGTAGGTAAGCTTCCAAACTCATTTCCAAAAACTGCCCAGCACAGCTCTCATACATCAGGTGCCTCGTCGAGGCTGTGTAACACCCCCAAGCTCGAGACGTTGTAATGAGCAGTTGAATAGTCCAGGGCGTTATCTTAAAAGAGGAGAGTCGTAGATGCTTACGGTTGGCGGATCTGTGGATCGGAACCTTGTACAGCATGTCCGCCAGTTTTTCGATGATGTCATCGCAAACAAAAGTATAACATCTTTCTCAGTGCGACATCAGAGTCAAGTGCAGCATCAGAAGATTTCAGACCACATCCAGGAACCAGGCGACTCCACCGTCACATACAAGCAATCACCTTCCTACCTTAGCTAGAAGATGGCAGTTACCCGGTCGCTCCTGCCTCCTTGATGAGGTTCTTTATCTGTTGAGCTTGCTTAACCATGGAGAGGATCTACCAGCGTCTCGATAGACCCAGAATCGGAAGGAGGTGACTGAAATACTCTCCCAGCCCCAGCAGCCATACATGGAGGTTTCAAGCAGGGTGCGGAAATTCAAGCGGTCAGTCAGCTTGGGCAGAGAAAGATGGGTGTCTTGAGCGAAGGGGAGGGGTAGTGGTGGTGAGAACATGAAGAGTTTGAGATCCAATCCACAAGTACCTAGTGGCTTCCCTTTGGATGTGGTGTTGTTCGAGGGCATATCGATGGAGATGAACTGGAGTTGGTGGTGGTGATGCTGGTTCGGCAAAGTCTAGTTTGGAATACAGGGCTAGTCTGTGTTTTGATGCGTTAGACCTTGGTTCAGTAGGTTCATGAGGATCACAGAGTTTGACATGCTCTCGGAGACTTAACGAATTACTTGGATACTCTTCTGAAGTAAAGGCCACAAAATGCTTCTGCCAGGCATTTAAGGATGGCTTCTCCGCCCACAGCCTGTTCCTCAACACCCAAAAGTCGATTCCCCTGCTTTTATCAGCTTGTTTCCATGACAGTCCCGCCAATATTTACACCTCCTCCTAAACACAAGACCATCCTTCTCCAATCAATCTCGCTCCACCGCTTCTTCGCCTCTCAAACCCACCCCTCAAACCCCCTCACCCCTTGCTTAACTGTCTCAATCCCCACCATGACATTCCCCTCCACCGCAAAGAAAACCCCCATCTTGACTCTCTCAACCCCCCTAAGCAGCAGGTCAAACTCCCCCCTCGACTCCACAGCAGGTCGTGCCAGTGCCGACGCACCCCAGCCTCCCCAGCCATACTCTTCAGCCCATTGCCGCTCCTGCTCTTGTTGCGTCCTGACATCGTGCTCCAGCTTCATGATCCATGCTTCGGCGATGTTCAACATCTTGTTCACCCTTGAAACGATGAAATCGTAGGTCTTGGGGTCGTCCTCAAAGTTGGAGTATTCGGGTCGGAGCACGAGGTCGTGGAGGGAGGCGACTTGGGTGGTGAGGTCGAGGAGCATTTCTTCGAGTTCGTCGGAAGGGGACATGTTTTCGGTTTTGGGTTCGTGATGGGATGTGGTATTCTGGTGGTTGATTTTGGAGAAAAAACGAAAAGTTAAGCCGCGGAGAAAAAGATTGGCCGGATGACTGTTTGGGATTGAGTCTTGCACTTAAGGTTGACTTGTGGGAGTTTGACTGCCAAACTGCCAGAAGCCTGCCCTCACTCCAAAAATGAAGCCCCAAAATCAGATGAATGAGAATGGTAGGCCTGGGTGAAGCTACGGGGTTACCCGCCCCGGCTGCCCACTCCAACCCCTACACAGGACGTCGATTCTAGTAGTCCCGTCAATGATGCTAAACTGTGTCCTTTACGCCTAGGGTCGTCATTTTAAACTCACCACCCAGATAATGCATGTACCGCCCAAGGTACCTTAAATTTCAATTAAAGCTTAAAGACATGCTGCCTGAAAACCGAGGTTTGAGGACGACTTCTCTCGACTGACAGCGTCATACTAGGTAGGCTGATATTGTGTGTAGGTAGGTAACTAATGGGAGATAGATTCTCGAGGTATTACCGCTGGGTGGTTCAGGTCAATGTAGTCGGCTCCAGTCTGTTATCGTGAGTGACAGCTCTGTCGTATCATTCTGATGTTTGTTTTGCACCACGTTACAACCCTCGTTCCTACCTGGGATAACACAGCAGGTGGTATGTTTAGGACACCCAGTGATCCAGGCCGATCACAGCTCGTGCCTGGGAGTACACCTTCATCAATCCGAGCCGATCTCAGGCCTTGCAGCTGCTCAAGGTAGCAGAGGTCAGTTGATCCAGCACTTCACTCGAAATCCGGACTGGATCCATCCCCGCTTCCCAGCTCTATCCGCGAGCCTGCTGGCGACATTGCCCATCCCACCGACGATACCCAACACTTGAATTTGAATCCCACCAGCTATGGCGCCTACTACGTGTATCTGCCCCGCATGTCTTAACCTAGACTTTGCCAGTTTTGATGCAAGCCCGGACGGCAGTATTGACGAAAGGCTCTTGGTTCTTGCCGCTGCCGCGCTACCGGGTGATTTCTTTGGAAATGGTCACGGATGCTGCCGAGAACGGATGCGGTATCTGTTGGGTTTTGGAGCAGGGTATATCCCATTTTTGGAGCGATATGTATGGGGATGAGCATGAGGATGAGCATGAAGATGAGGATGAGGGTGAGGGTAAGGATCCATATCATGACAACACCGTGGCCGGTGGGGAGCTGACTCGCAATCATTCTGGGGGCTCAACCGATGGTCCTGCTTCACAAGACGGAGAACACCAAGCACAACCGCTAGAAAAGAGCGCTGGCAGAGACGGAAAGCGTCGCCTCCATGTCTGGCGCGAATTACGACCCAGGAGAAACCTTCAAGTGACGCGGGTAGGTCCTCGACCCCACCATAACATGCAAAGAGTGGTCAGGCCTCGGCTGGACCTTTTTGATGAGCCCAGCACCTTTCCAGCCCGGGCAACGGGATGTCAAGGAGTATGTCTGCGGCCTGGTTTTTTGGATTCCTTTGGGAGGGCATCCATCTTGCCGGGAGTGACTGATCTCGAAGACAGCAGCAGAGTGAGACAGCGGTGGTTAGACGGGTGTAAAGATTACCCTGTCTGCTCCGAAAGGTCGGGGTATCTGCCGACGCGCCTTTTTGATGTCTCGAATTCGACACCAAGGTTTGATGGAGACTGCCAACCTGGCTGGCTCGGCGGCTCTGCGTTACATCACATTGAGCCGCTGTTGGGGCAAACCAGGCTTGGACGCACCTCCGCTGCGCGCGACGAAAGAGACGTACAAATCAAGAACAGAGGGCATCGAGTGATCCGACATCCCTGTTTTGTTCCCGGGATAGCATCTCTCTGGCCCGCGTGCTCGGTTGTTACTCTCTCTGGATTGATTCACTTTGTATTATCCAGGACGACATGGACGACTGGCTCACACAATCTGCCGAGATGGCCGATATCTACGCCAATGGCTATTTCAACATTGCAGCTGCAGCTGCTACAAATTCTTCGGAAAGCCTATTTAGTGAGCGGCACCAGTTTGTATGGCAACAAACGGAATGTGAATGTGCTGGGCCTATTGATCGGAACCGGGGACCCCCTCTTGGCAAGGCGCGTCAGTTAAGGGCTTTTGAGTGCTGCGGGCTATCGAAGGGGAAGATTCGGTCTATCGCCGCGTGGGGGTGGGCTTAAATGATGACGAAACGCTCTTTGAGGACAGCGATGCACCTGTTGCTAGGGTTACGATTATTTAGCAGATCTTTCCACTCAGTTTTATGTCAGAAGTAGTTAACTACCTATTCTTGTACAGACGCGGGATCTTAGTTCTACATAGTACGGCAATTCCTCAGTCGGGCACATTAAGGTACTTTACCAAGATCATTTCATTCACCTCGTTGATTGGGCGTAGACCGCTCAATAAAAGCTTGCCCCTATCTTCTTCCTCATTGTCAATAGCCAGTGCCTCTGAGTGTAACTGCCGAGAGCGAAGAGAACAGACATTGACGCGACTGCGGATCAATCAGAACCATTTCTTCCAAGTACAGGAAGAATATTCATGCAGCACTATGAGCCAGCGGTGCAAATGGCGGATACGCGAAGCAAAAAAACGAATGATTGGTGATTTATGAAACCCTCTTACATTCCAAAGTCACCGGACCTCCTCACCAAAGCCCACATGAGCTGTGTACCTGATATTCTTTCAAGTCTTCAAGTCTTCAAACCTTGAAGCAGTAAACCCCAAGGTCTTCAAACTTTCAAACCTTCAGCTTCCAAAACCTTCAAACCCCTTCTCAATGGTGCCATTGACAAGGGACAATGATAGGTGGCTCATGAACCCTGGCCTAAGGTAGCAATCAAGTCCAAAACAAACATTGGCGCACTGTCGTCCTAGCCTCGTGTCCAGCATCCACTTTATTCACATCCTCATCATAGAAAAGGACCTTTCGAAATAATCATACGCTCATCATCATCATCAACAATCTTATCACAACTCTCTATCAAAAACCCCTCTCAATCTCCTCCCCTCCCAAAAAAAGCCAACTATGCAAAAGCCACCCAACAAGGCCCCGTCAACCTCATCTATAAAATAAAATAAAAAACATAAACAAAAACCTTTGCCCAATCCCCCAAAACGGGTATCAACCTTGGACCAAAAAGAAAAACAGCACGCATAATCCTACTGCGCAAAAAGACCAACTTCCACCCACAACAACCCCCCTCACTCCAACCCCATCCTAACCTCATCCCCAACCCCCCAACTCCCCTCCTCCTTTCCCGCATCCTGCATCGCCAGCCTAGTCTGCAAAGTCCCAACACCCGCATCGTCATAATCCCCCGAATTACTCCCCAAACTCCCACTAACCCCGCTCGCCCTCCTGCTCCCGCTCCGTCTATGTGACGACGAGAGCGAGCTCGCATCCGTCACCCTCTTCCTCAGCGAAGAGGGCTTGATAAACCGTGAGGTCGACCTGCTAGACGTAGACAGCATAGAGGCAGAGTCGTACTCCTCCTCCCTCTCGAGCGCCAGGCTCTCCTTGCTTTCGTTTGTAGTCGGCGGGCTTCCCACCGTCATGGTTGTGGCTGTGCCAGGTGTGGTGGGGATGAGATCGATGGACGGGATAGACTTCACATCGCTGCCTGCAGCGGCGGCATTTTCAGTATCTGCCTCGACAAGCTCAGCATCGCGGTACCACTTTCGTCGGCGTGTCCACTTTCCCCACCCATCTTGGCCCCTCCGACCGTTCTGCCACTATCTCATCGTTAGCACCCCCAACAAAACAACGATGCCACAAAAACAAACCTTATTGTCATAATAAATCCACCCCACCTTCCCTCCGGGCCCATCATAATCCCACTCCTTTTCCCTATCCTCCGCCATCACAGCCTCATCCGGCACCCCATCCACCTTCCACCTACTCCCCTCCACCCACCTCCACCGCATATTACTCCCGTCCTCCACCTCGGGCAGCTCAAACTCATCCCGCTGCGGCACAGCATTGTTATGCTCATCCGTCCACGCCGGCCTCTCATATGCAAACAAACTCGTCGTCCAACCCAGCCCGACCCAGCGCCGCTGGTTCTCATAGATAATAAACGTAAATCTCACTCCGGTATCCTGGCCCCCTCTGGCTCGGCGCAGGGCCTTGGTCAGCTCCGACTCATGGCGAGTAGCCTTGATAGTGCCAGCTGCCGAACTTTTAGTTTTGGTCGAGACAGCACTGCTGCTGACAGTGTTGGCAGCATCGGCAGACGGTGTTGCTGTGGTTGTTGCACCTGCCTTGACAGGTATCTCAAACTGCAAACCAGTGATAAGCGTCAAGAACTTTCTGATAGTGGCGCTTCTCCAGAGGATAGCCCGAGTGACACGCATCACTCGAGCATGCCAGGTAAGGATAATGGTTCCAAAGAAAAGAATCACCCGGCGGGTGGTGATGATCCTCAGCGGGGGCAGCGTAAGCGAAAACCAAAACGGCGTGCAGAGCAAAATCCGGACAAACAATGTCGTCAACGCCGGCCGGGTAGTGGCTGACGTGGCCGTCTGCTGCGTGCTCAAGAAATCCGTCAACTCCAATAAGGGTTCCAGCAGGATATTACACCGAGCTGTGAACTCCTTCAGTGTCTCAACAATCTCATCCAACGTCTTTTGATGTCGTGTATTCGTCGCCTCCGACATCGAGCTTTGATTCCTCTTGTGTCCGGCCGTAGGAGTCGCCGCGGTTCCATTCTCTGTCTTGGTATTCTTTTCCGGCAGTCCATCCACCAACAAGTTCTTGCTCTTGCTCTTCTTCAACGTCTTGGCACCCTTTGCATCTGTCGCGACACCCGTACTATCCCCTGCACCAAGTCCAGGCTCGCTCCAACCGCTACTGCTCAGCGGGCTGAACCGCCGGCCGTACATGCCCATGATGAGGATCAACACCAGTATCAGAGGTCCGGTGGCGCGCACGAGAAAGTCCCCGTAGAGCACCACCGCCCAGAAGAAGGCCACGAGCAGGAAGCTCTCCCACGCATCGCCCGTTGTCCATGTCAATAACCCGATGACATTGTTGAGCGGCAAGAGAAACGGGTGGCTGTACGCAAGGGCGCGTGTGATTTGGGGGGGTGTCGCGAGAAGCAGGGGGGACTTCTGGTGAACGAGGATGGTGCTCCTCCTCTTCGCGGCCGAGGCGGTGCTCGGGTTCGTCGAGCTCAGGGTCGCGGGGGAGAAGATGGCATAGGTGGGATTCGGGGCGGGAGAAAAGACGGACGAAGCGGCGCCATCACCTCGCGACGGGGTGGACGGGTGTTGCGAGTTGGGATCCAGCTGGTCGCTGCGCTGGGCGCGAGGGGGGGCCGACATGTGCGTGAGCCAAGGGGGTTCCTGTTCGTATTGGGCAAAAACAAATTGTCAACGGATCAGTTCAGTCATCCCATGCTATGGTGGATGGCTGGAGTCGAAAGGGGAGGCTAAGACGCGCGAGCATCGTGGAGAGGTCCGAGTTTGACTTTCCGCCTCATCAGTGTCGATGACGCTGACGTAGGTGTCGTAGGCGGAAGCTTTTTGGGGTTGTTCTGGGGACGTGCTTGGGGGGTGGGGGGTCGTGACCAGCTGCCCACTGTCCAATCAACCGCCAAGAAATGTGCCTGGATCAGCCAGAACCAGACTTCCAGGCTTTGCTGTGCGACGAGTGTCTTGCGCCAAACCCCCGGACTATCCGGTAATCATGTGAAACGGGAGAGAGCGAGAGAGCGAGAGAGAGAGAGAGAGAGAGAGAGAGAAAGAGAAGAGAGAAAAGAGAACTCAAGAACTTACAAAAGCAGCCATTCAAAAAGGTTGCTCGCGGGGAATGCGCCTGGAACGGCACCGAAATTGATGTTCACGTCATAGGCGACAACCGTCCTGACCTGACTCTGATGGGCGATGGTACGGAGATGATGATGACAATGCCACACAACCAGCCAGATAGAGAGCAGGGAGACAACACATGTTAATACCAGGCTATTTCTCTGGCTTCGGTGTCTCTCGTCATGGGATGGGAAAGTGAAAAAACCCGACGCAGAATGCCAAAAGCCCAGCACGTGAGAGAAAGCCAAACCAGAACATGGCGCCAGCTGGCGGCGCAGCTAACACGCACTGGAATGCCAACTTGCCTGGACCCCGCACCCGCCAGCTGCTGAAGTGGGCGGAATCACATGCAAATCAAAGCACCTCAACGGGCAAAACAAGATAAACAAGATAAATATGTGTGTGATTAGTAATGTATCTACAGTACCAGCTAATGATCAACTACTTTTCCCGTCCAACAAGAGCTAACTCTGCAGCCTCTAACCGCACCTGAACATCAAACAGCGCTAATGAGACATCTATAAACCCGCAGAGTGCTTTGCATTCCCTCGACTCCAAACTCCGAACACTTGAGGATGCCGCTCGCTCCCAAACCAACATGTCGCAGAAAAGATATATCGAGATGATAAAAGAAGCCAGACGAACAAATGAAGAGAAGAGCAAAAGGCAGAATGCCAAGGGGACAAAGATGTAGTAAAAGCAAGAATGTGAGGGACACGCTTCACGGAGCGTTGGCGATACTGGGGCATTCTACCGCCTTGTTCCAGGCCAACAGACGCCGGCAAAACCTCCTGGCTTGGATCTTTCCAGACTCGAGGCGTTCTTCAATATTGACCCTACCCAATTCAAACACCAGTGTCAGCGTTTTATTCCCAATGAACTCGATCGTGACCTCGCAGCTGCCTCCCTCGCCACGCATGGACCGAGCCGCAGTCTTGATCTGCTTGGGGTCGATCTGGAAAGACGAGACAGCTTCTGGTGACCCCGGGACAGCTTTCAGAACCCCGGTAGTATGATCGTCTTCAATGGACAAAAGGGTACCGGCGATCTTTGAGTTGAATATTTCTTCGTCGCCCGCTCGAATCGCACCAATTGTGAATGTTTCCGGCTCTTCGCCCGCTTCTGTCTTGATCACCGGGACAGATGTCTTCACCGGGAACTCGCTAGCACCATAAGCCTCGCTGGCAGAGGGCGTTGCCAGAGGTCCAGCACTAGGGGAAGTCTCCCTTGCGCTGGCCAGGGATACGGTTGGGGCTGACGCGGACTCGGTTGCCGATGGGAGGGGGGTTGGATACTCCTGCTGCTGCAGTGGAACAGGCTCAACAGACGGCAAGTGGTACACAAAGGCCGGTGTGGCGGGAGTTGTCAGTGAGGCAGGGGTCAGGGATTCGCTCTGAGCGCGCTCCTGGTCTCGCTCGGCCGTCGTCGTACTCTGGTGGACCGGGGCTGATTCGGCCCTGTCTGGCTTCTGACCATTTGCCACACCAGTGTTGACGACGATGGACGACATGGGCTGTGGCGATACGATGGGAGTCGCTGGTTGAGTTGTGGCAAGCACATTCTTACTCCGGGCATGGATTTTCTCCACTCGCCTTCTTTCGGTAGACGCTCCGGGGACTGGGCTTTGGCGGGAGGGTGGCTCTGCGCTGGACGCGGCGCTCCGTGAGTTGATGGCTGTGAAGCCAGTGCTCCGTGCAGGCGTCTCGAGATTGATGAGGGCCTGGGCGGCAATGGCTTGCGCACTGGGGTGTGGCAACTCCTTCTCGGTCTCTGTGCCTTCGTCGGGATTAGACACGCTCGTCCGGCGACTGTCAGCAGTTGCCATGTCGATGTCATTGGTAGAGTTGGACATTGATTTGGTAACAGATTCTTGGTCTGAATCCGAACCAACATCCGCCATCTCCACGTCGTGTTGCTGCAAGGGTTGCGAAGTCGCCGACTGTGCGGTGGCCAAGCCAGCGGTCGAAGACGGAAAAGACACGGATGCGGACGGAGACGGGCTATCCGCCATTTTCTTTGGCAATGGGGTCTGGGCAGGGCCGACGGGCTGTCCCCTCGCAGTCATATCTTGTCGAAGATCATCGTAAGTTGGGTACTTTCGAATGGTTTTGGCGTAGTACTCTCGCGCCACCGCCGAGTGGGGAATCTCAGAAGTATCGCCAAAATCAAAAGGAGTCAGGTATTTGGCCTCAATCCATCCAAGTTGCCAGCTTTGCCTACCCATATTGTTAGCGAGAAGGGAAGAAACAGAAAATAGTCGCGACTGTCTTACCGGTCATCGCTATCGATGATGAGCACTGGAAATTCCCGCTTCTTCACGAGGGGGCCGCCAATCCCGTACCCTTCGGCCCATCCTTTGATCCTCCTCACTTGACCCTTGTCATCACGGTCATACTCGTAACACTTTGGAAGCGGACCGGAAAACAAGCCAGCGCTCTCGAGGGTGAGCTCCAACAGACCAGCCGAGTTCAGATTCTCCTCGTCCCACGGCAAAATCACAACAGGGTGTTGCTTTTGATCGGCAGTACAATATCCTGTATACAGCCCAGCCGGTGCTGGATTCGCAATCCCAGAAGCCGCCTTCCGCTGTCTGGAGGCGGCTGCGCTCAGGGGGCTGCTCATGGGGGTTCCATTCTTGTCAAGCTGAGGGAAGCCCTTCTTTGCCCGTTCAGTCTTGTTGAGCTGGTTGGCGTTGAAAGGCTTGTAGCCATTCTTGAAGGCTTCAATGACCATCCTGTTGTTCATCTCCATCAACTTGAAGTCACATCCTTCCACAATCCAACCCAGCGTTCTGATAGCCTGCGTGTGCTCTTTAGACATCCTCCCGTGTTGAGCACTAGCCAAATGCTTCGCAGCCCCTCGAAGTGGGTGTTCTCCAAAGTTGACGCCGTGCTCCTCGCAGCGAAGGATGTAGTAATCTCCACCATCGGGGAACTGGATAATGATGTGCTTGTACTCTGGGTTGCCGCCTCCCCACACCTCACTAAACTGGACTGTCCGCTGCGGACGGACATCCTCACTCGCGGTGGGAGTTGCGCGCTCGAGATCGGCACTGCTGGGTGTGTGGTCTTGCTTGGCTCGTTTGACGTCTGGGGGAGCCGAGTCGGTAAGGGTGGCCTTTCTCTTGGGCTGCTGTCCTTCCTCCACCGGACCAGGACGATGCAGCTGAGGGGGGAGGATCGGAGGCAGAACCTGGCGTTCATGGGCCGAAGGGTTGGTGGGTCCATCACTCTTGGGGTATGTCGGATGGAGCGGTGGCATTCTGCCTGGAGGTGTAGAGTACATGGCAGGACCATAACTAGGGTTCCTGTGCCAGCCATTTGTTGTTGGCGCTCCTGGAAGAATACGACGGCCATTACTGGTTAGCTGTGGCTGTGGGGGAGCCATCTGTGGCATGGGATGGTACATATTCCGCATGGAAGACGAGACTGGCGCTGGGTGGGCATGCATGGATGATACCGGGGGTTCTCGCGACCCATTGGTCTGGGGTGGAGGCTCCAAAGACGAGCGCATTGTCGGGGGGTAGTGTGGTGCAATCGTCAGAGGCCCGTGTCTGACAGGCTCCGAGGAACCAACGAAGCCTCTGGGATAACCAGACACGCTTGGAGCCATGAGCGGCCCATGTGGATTGTTAGGCGGGGCGGTAGAGGACGACAAGATGGGCGGCTGCGGCCTTTCGGAAGCAGGCAGCTGGATATCCGATGAGCAAATCGACACAAAGTTCTGGGCACGTCCATCGAAAACTTACAGGAGGCGGCCCCGACGTGGAAGGCGGCGGCACATCGATATTCAACACGTTCTGCCACTGGCTGGCCTCCATTTCTTCATACCGTTTCCTCAGGGCAGCCAGTTCCTCGTCATATTCGCGGTCCAGATCCCTGGCCTTGAACTGGTTTACCTCCTTCAAAAGCTTCACTATCCCATTGAGAAGTTCAGGATGCCCCTCCAAGGCGAGATACCTTTCTCGGTCAGTCCGAAACCACGAGTCGAGGTCCATCTTCTTGTTATCAAGCTTCAGGCGCAACTGCTGCTCATCGACCTTGCGACGCTGCTTCAGTTCCAAAATGTGCGCATAGTTTTGCACGAGGGGATCTGGTTCCCCCTTGGAGGCAGCCATTTTAGGGTGTGGGCTTGGTCGATTCCCATGCTGCCGAGACATATCTGATGGATGACCCTCAGGTTGCCGGCTATAGGAAGGGAACTCTGGAGTCCTCGCATATGGTGAGGTTGAGGTGGTCATTTTGAGGCGCCGGTCTGGCGACACGGCATCTGTGATTCAGTGTTAGCGGGGGTTGACGGTGAGTGATGAGCGATGGGGGAGAAGAATGACTTGAATGAGATGAATGAGGCGAGATTGGCAATTGAGATGAGGTGGTAGTCGCTTCGGGTGAGAAAAGGTTCACCAGACACATGTTGCACCATGGCACCGCGAAATGCCGATGGTGGTGCGTGTGCAAGGATCCCGTGTCGCAAAATCATCACACTCGAGACGAGATGGAAGCTGGGAGTTGGCAGCTGGGAGCTGGGCAGGAGCGGTAATGTGAGGGTGAGGGTGAGGGTGAGGGTGAAGGTTAGGGTGAGAGTCATAGCAAATGATGACGACAATGATCATGTTGATGATGGGGGTGACGCCCCCCCTGGGGGGGGGGAGGAAGGAAGGAACTTACATATGGTACAGCAGCAAGCGAAACAAAAGAAAAAAAAAACAACTACACGCTATAAATGCGATCGGTAGTCGACTGTCTCTCACCTCTTTGTTGTAGCAAGGGCGAGTAGAAACAACACGAACTACTACCTCTAGATGGGGAGTGGGAGGGTGTGTACCGTTGGAAGTGAATGAGAGGTGATGATGGCAGGTGGTGAAGGTGTGAGGTGGTGGTGAGGTGTTGGGGATGGAGAAAGTGTAATGGAAAGTGTAAAAGTGTAAACCAGAGGAAAGCGGGAGTCGAGGCAAAGCTTCGTGGTGCAGGGAGCAAGTAGTAGATAGCGAAATAGCGAAACAAATTAGAGAATATTATTAGAACAGGGGGGGTGAGTGGAGCAAGTGGTGTGTAAAGTGCCTGGCATCTTTGGTACGACGGGGCCACACAGTGCTGAAGGCGCAGTCCAGCAACGCGCCTAGGCTCGATCTGAGCGGTTGGCGTAAAAACTAGCGACCAGGGCGACAGGGGTCGTGACAGGTATAAGATTGGCGCTAAACAGGTGTTCCGGACCACCAGGAGCCCCCTAGCAGGCCCCTGCTCTCCCAGCAGCACCAGCACCGTCGGGTGTGATGATATCTGCAGTTGCTCCCGTCCCTCTCTCGAATATTTTGACTCAGATCATCAAAGGGAGACAAGACAACAACAAAAAAAAATGGAGCATCTAGTCCGCCTCCCTTTTTCTCTCTCCCTTTTGTTCATTTCAATCATGCAACACCCGACCTGGGCTCTCATGGAGATGGATCCTGATGACACCTTTTCAAAAAAACAAAAGCCGATCCATGCGACTCACAGAAATGCGAACTGATCCACCCTCAAAGTCCCGGCATGGCAATTTGGTGCGCGCCCAGCTCCGATCTAATTGATGCCAGCGGGGGGATTTTGTATTTCTTCTTACCTGTTAGGCTCCAGCCACGATCCATCCAAAGTGTCATTCACTCACCCACCCCCCGCATTAATCAATGTCGTTCCTTGACACTATCGTCGAATATCTTCATCATTGCCGGCCTCTAGGTAATTGCCTTGTCGCAGAAGGGCAGTGAGTAGCGTTCCCGTCTAACCCCTTTCCGAAACCAAAACTGCTGATCTTCATCGCCAAACCCGTCGCCATCGGGTGTTTCACCCCCCATAGTCTCTAAACATCTCTGAGCCCGCGGCTATTCGCCATCCCTGTCTCTACTAGGTACCGACCGGTACGTGCGTACGGCATATCGACTCGTGCCATGCCCTCTCTATGATCTTGTCGCGATTAGCTGCCTGTGTCACTCTGACAAAGCAGGAAATCATAAACAGCTCAGGCAGAACCTTGGACCATGCAGCCAAGAGTCTGCCATGAGAGGCTATCCAAAGCCGCATAAGCAAGGTGCGCCCAGACGCCGCATAACCAATCCACGCCTGCAGGGGAGCCTTTTAGAGAAGGGGAGGGTGCACCAAGCGAGCTGGACCGAACCACGGGACTAGTTCCTCGCGTCTTGTGTGGATCGTGGGTCCAATGATGCCATTGCCTCGGATTACGTGGGTGACTGTAGTGTGTATGTACTCGGGGTACGGAAGTAGATTGGGTGATAGCGACGCCGCTGATTTGTTGCAAGCTGAGGAGGGCGACACAAGCGCTGATACTTTTATCATGCGGTACTCGCTCGTATGAGCAAGTCGTATCGGCCCAACCAGTCACCATGACGGTTCCACTAGCTAGACCTATCATTTTGGCGATGTACATGACGCCACCAATATATAGCCCGACAAGCTGCATCTCGCGCGCCATTGGGCTTTGATGGCTCCCGTTGATATCACATCCATCCGCTCTCCTCCTTTTCGTCGCGCTCGCAAAACACCACTGGCATAATAACAACACAACAAGACAAAAACACTTGATGCTGGGATCCGACACCAGCCGGAGTCGGACTACGACACTACAGTTCCATCATCAGCTTGGTCAGGACCCAGAGGATTGGACCAAAAGCCCGAAACGCGCAAGCTTCGCCAGCAGGGGCAGGGGCGTGGTAGTACTCGCCCCTTGAGTGGAGATGGGAAAGTCCGGTGATGAGCTGTGGCGCCACAGAACTGACTCGGTGCCACCAGAACAAAAGATTGATTTCTAGGAGGCAACGAAAAGGGACCATATCAGCAAACTTTGTTGAGATATCTGGAAGCTCTAGCGGACGGTGAGACGACTAGCCGGCTGTTGAGTCGGGTATAACGTAAACCCGGCATGCATCATCCATTCATCCCCAACATGGTGAAGCTGAGAGCCCGAGATGCACCGACTATGCACGCACGCCAATAAGTGGATTAATCGGTGCCCAATGGTGATAGTATATTTACTAAGATCTCGATGAGCCAGTCAGACACGATTGTACGAGTATCTGATCAATGATTACTGATTTTCTCGGTCCCGCGTAATTCCCACTTCCCTTCGCATCTGACATTTGCAGGATGTCAGAAAATGCCACCATCGATGACTGAGATACACATACTGAATCTCGGCGACCTTGGCAACAAACCCCTCCGATTTTGTAAGGAAGATCAAGAGAACGTTGCGTCCCCCCCGTTATTGTTCGGAGGCACTGTTCGCTTGGGGCAACTGTCTCGAACATCTGGCATGCAGCGCTTCGGGTAGGGTACCAGCTTTGGGGCAACACGAGGTTTCGAAAAAAAAAATCCGGAAATAGGGGTCCGACTACGAATGCTTGTACGAGAACAAGCCACACCCGCCACCTTTGAACCACCAATTACGGCATGTTTACCACATGTGCTCACAGGGAGAGCTTGGAAGCATATCTGACACACCGAGGCAGGGGTTGCACTACCGGGATTAACAGTTTCATCGGTAAACGTCAAAGGAAGGAAACGTGGAAAATCCTTGACAGGGATGCTGCTTCTTGCGAGGGGGGAAAAAGATTGTGTAAAATTGTACGTACAACTCGGCTGCTTCCGCGGATGGGTTTTGGCATCACATGCCATGCTGGCGACGCGCGAGATTTCTTCATTCATCTACGCCTTTAACATTGTATCAAGACTGGATTCCAGCTCGATGCACAATCAGATTCCACTTCCTCTTGATCATACCTACCTAAGAGAATAGAATTAACCATCACTACATATAACCTCCAACTCAAACCCACGATCAACCTCAATCCGGATCTGTGTCACAAGCATAGAATCCCCATATCAATCCAGCCATAACCAAGACACCCCCTGCGCCACCCCTATTCTGAAAGGAGAGATTTTGTGCTCACTTCGGGCATATTCACAGTGCTTGGTCGCACAGTGAGACCAGCCAACACAACGTCACAATTTGACACCAACAACACACACAAAAAACGAAACCTAATACAATAAAAGTGGAACAAAACATGCCAGTACCTCAGGGAGAACCAACCCATCTCTTGATAGGCTCACGTGCGACCCAAGAGGATGGATAGATGCGTGTAAACGCCGCCAGTTGAGACTGTATCTGCTATACCCGAGCCACCAAAACGTGTGCAGCTGCCATTCTTCTTCTCGCAGTAGGTCCACACCCTGGGCTTGGGGCCAACCGCAGGGATCACACGATCTCGATGATGTTAGTCCGAAAGGAGGCATATGATTCGACAGCTACTACAGCATATGTCGTTGGTGATTGCGCCATCGCTGTTACGCCTGCTAGCCCATTGTCGTTATCATTATCCCCCGAGTCTGTCCGGATTTTATAGATGATATATCCCGTCCGTTTGCCTTCCTGCATCTGAGCTGGCATAAACATAGCAACTCAAAGAAAAACCCCCCAGTCCAGTCCGGACCGCGAAGCCAAGGGCTGTTGGTTCCAACACACCGAGTCAGAGACCGCTATCATTCAAGCAAAGACCTTCTTCTGCCCCCCTCTTCTTGGCTCAAAAGCCAATATTCGATCTTATGCTCGGGCACTTGGCAGCAGCAACTTGTTGATTGTAAGACTTGTGTTGGTTCAACCCTTACCTTACCGCTGGAAAGACAAATTTCATGCAGCACAGCACGAGCGGGCTATTGTAACACCAACTCTCACACATACAAAGCGTGGCTGTGGCCCAACAACTGCCGGAGTTGGGGTTATCTCCTCTGGGTAGGGGTTTTCGTCCGCAGGCCGCACGGAGGTACGCACACGAAGAATGAACGGTCGGGAGCCGAGTCGGTGTCAAGTTGGGGTGCTGGCATTCTTAAAGACGGCAAACCCGTTTGATGAGGGTATATTATGATGCGCTTGTTGGTCGTTTCGTTTGTCGGTTTACTTGCAGCTTGTAACTCACACGATACGGGACTGGAATGAAAGCGTAGCACCAACACCATCATCTGTTTGTTTTGCTCCCGTTCTGGAAAGCGATCCCCTCGCACAACAACATTGAACATTTGCTGTCTGTATGCGTAGTACACGAGGCCGAGTCCTTCTGATCTCACAAAAACACAGAAGATACTGGTTGGTGTGATGCGGGCACAGGGGGGG